CCCGCGCCCCCCTGAAGCTTGGCTAAATGGAGGTAGAGTCCACACATAGCTGGGGATTGACCACCCTCAGATCCTCCCAGTCAAGCTAGGACTCACAGTGCTGGGAGCTGGGGACACCCAAGGGGCAGGACCAGAACTGGAGTCTGGTCAGGGCAGCCTGTCCTTTTTGAGGTGAACCTTAGGGGACTAAGATGGAGAGGATGTGGGAGGGTTCAGCCTGGAGCTGGAACTGCAAAGGCCAAAGATGTTGTTTCTTGAGTCTGGTGTGGCCCTCTTTGGAGACGATCAAGGCTCTCATGGTTCTGTGCATGTTCTGGGGTCTCCTGGGTGGAAGCTGGGCACTCCATCTCAACGCATCTGTCCAGAAAGGTCTCTCTGGGGATAGGACTGGGCATGGGGCAACTGTCCCTGAAAACTCCAGTAAGCCTGAGTCCTCCACCAACTTTGGACTTTGGAAACCTGAGGTGGTGAGGACAGGAGGGTTGAAGCACTGCTTCTTCCCCAGGAGGAGTCTCCCACAGAGTTTCCTGGGGGCAGGCAACAACTTCCTCTGTGATCAGAAACCTACTGCACAGATGAGGGAGCTGAGGTTTAGGGAAGGGGACATTCCTGGGCTACCCAGAGATTGATGGTGCCTGAGCAGGGACAAGAGCCCAAGCCTGGGGTGTAATGAGGCCTGAAAGGCAGGATCTGCTGAGGATCTTCTGCCTTACGTCCCCAGACTTCCCTGGGACAGTCACAGGCCACTCCAGCCTCATGGCCAACACTTGGCAGGAGTCTGCCTTCACAGCTACCCTGGGGGGGACAGGTACGCTCAGTCCACCCCTCTCCTGGTCCAGCCAGGTCATCTCTGAGATGGCAGAAAATGCCAGGGTAGCTGGAACAAATACGGGCTCAAGTTTTGGTTCTGCTGACACTGGTTGTGTGAACTGGGCTGCCCAGTGATCCCCTGGGTCTCAGGCCTTTGTAAGGACAAGGACCTCACAAGGGGTGGGAGAGTGTGAGGAAGGATCAGATTAGCTGCAATGCCGTGCGGAAGTCCCACAGGACCTCAGGGACTGGAGGCCCATTTCCTCCCCTTGTGATAACTTCCTTTGTGATAAGAATCCTGGGGCGGCAAATGCCATTTCAAGAACCTGCAGGGAGGGGCAGCACAGGAAACTCCTTCCAGAGGGTTTTCTCCTGGCCCTGTGGGCCAAAAAGGGGTCACGCGGCCCATCATGGTTCCTGCCTCCGCCCACAGCCGCCTCCCAGGTCCCTGAGTCAGTGTGGCCAGCTCGATGCTATCTGGGGCCCCTCTTTCCATGCGGTGCAATCTAGGAATACCTGCCTGTGGCCTGGCCGCAGCCCTGATGTCATCTTTCCAGGAGAAAGACGTGCGGCTGCCCACGAGCCCCACCACGATCTCCGTGCATGTGTGTGCTCTGACTTGGGCACCTGGAGGCCACGCGGCTGGCATGGATCTCTCCGTGTGGCCGTTTTCCTCCTTTCTGCCCTCCTAGGGCCGTTGGCCACTGATCTGTCACTCACCCAGCTATCCAGCTGCCAGCCCTTTACACACAGCTGTTCTGGTCCTCAGCCCCTCCTGAGCAGTCCTCCTCGGCCTCAGCTACCGTGAGGACATAGACCCCGCCCAGACCTGTCCCCTGCGCAGCTTCCGAAGCTCCCAACGTCTACTAAGCTCTTAAACCCTTAAGACTGGACACCCAGACGGTGACTCTAACTCCTCTTACTCACTTAGATTCAAAGCACACTTTGGGGAGGGGAGGGGTAGAGATTGAGCTCACTCTTCCATCATTTTGGTTACAAAGTCCTTGATGTCAGGACCTGGACCATTTTCTGTCCTTGTAACCCCGTTCCCAGCTCGGAGCCTGACAGGTGCTCAGTCAGTATAAATGGGTAAGTCCACACAACACCAAGTCCTTTCAAGATTCTGCCTCCTAAATCTCTCTGGGATCTGCCCCCTGTTTTCAATACCAGCTCCTAAAACCCTAGACCTTCCTGTGCTTGAAACCCTCCCAATCCCTTCATATCTGCTGGACTTCTGCCTGCCCTTTCAGCCTGTGCTGGGTGGCAGGGTTTCCTGGGGAGCTCTCTGGTCTCTTCCTCGGGACCCCTCAGCTCTGAACTTCCTCCATCCCAAGCTGGATCACACCGTGGGAGGGTCCATTTCAGTCTGTCTCCCAGTCAGGCTTCAGGGCCAAAGGGAGGGTCCCATCCACCTCCTCCCCAGCACAGGCCTGGTGCGACTAGAAAGCCTCCTTGACTAACTGTCTGGGCTGTGACGACTCATTTCCAGAAGAAAAGTGACCTTCCATCCCAAGGGACGCACAAGTCTCTGCCTCCCTGGCCCCCACTTAGCCATGCTTGTGGCTCCCCTCCCAGCCCCTCAGCCATGTGAAGTCCAGACCTCCACTCGGCGTGGCATCCGCACTTAGTATCAATGTGCCCCCCCGCCCCCCGCCACCGACTGCTCCCTGGAGGGAGCTGGCCATGGCATCACAGAACAGGTGGGCAAACGGCCAGGGCCTGACATGCCATGCTCTGACCCCTAGCCTGGCCACCTACAATGATCTACCAGGCACAGAAAGGCAGTGCTGGCCCCTCAGTGCACCCTAAACCCTGGCAGGGGACCTCAGTGGTTTCTAGAAGTCTAAGATCTGCCTTCTCCATGGAAAGACGGCAAAGCTCCCACCACGCAGTAACATACAGCAGGGCCGCAGACTCGGACCGCAGCACTCAGGCCACGAGTTCTACTTAATCTCTGACAGTTCACCTGGCAGAAAGTCCTCACTGTCTGACCCCACCGGTCTAGGCTGAATCAGCCTCTGGGACCTAGAAACAAGGCTCCCAGCCCGGGGAGTCCTCTCCACTCTCAGAGAGACGCTCCAGAGGCCTAGAGGCTTTCAGAAAGCAGGCGATAGGAGCAGGGCTCCTGTGAATGCACCTTCACATAAAACAGCCTCCCTCTCAGACACACCTGTAAGTGTGGACGTGTCCGGTTACACCACCACACACACATTCAGAAATGGACCCATGTGCACCCACCCCCTGGGCCACGAATTCTCGTCATGTGGTAGCTTGAGCCTGATCCCTTGAGCAAACATAAACACATGCTGTCTTCTCTGAACTCCGTTGTGAAAATCAAACACTTGCCCTCCCCTCAAGAGCCTGGAGCTTTTCCAGCAGTGCCTCCTTCCACAGAGAGGCTGCTGGAACTAGAAGTGGTCTGAGGCTGGGGCCATGTGGAAATGAAGCCTGAAAGACCTCGCTTGAGAAGCCATGACCCCCTGTACCTGGTATGGTGCAGCCATAACCCTGCAGCCGGCCACTGAGCTCCCGGTGCATGCTAGGTAGGGGTGCAGAGCCCACCTTGCTTGGCAGCTATCCTACAGAGAAAGGGGGAGCTCACATAACTCAGGGGGAGGGGCCACTCAGCAAGACGGTGCCGGAACCAGGAGTCAAACTCAGGGCCCTGACTTGCCTAAGCCAAGAGCCTGAGCCACTGCTGCGTGGAGGCTGAATGTGAGTGTGTAAACCGGGACTAAGATTGTTGGGTGGGCTCTCACCAATAAGGAACATGTGGCCATCTCGCTGGCTGGATGTGCACATGGTTGTCACTCCCTCTGTTCAAGGGGATGGGGTCTCTGACTGGGCTAACCTTGCTGCCTGCTAAGAGTCCGTGGTGGGAGCCGTCACGAGACAGTGCCATTTGGCTGGCCTCTGCCTGAGTGCACAGTGGGACCGGCCTGTGAGAGCTCCCCTCGCTTCAGCCTCTCACAGTGGTCAGAGGAAAAGGCTCTGGGAATGGGCTCAGGGTGGGAATGGGGCACCAGGGCGGGCCTCCTGGGCTAACGGGCAGGAGCCCATCGATGTCTCCCAAGCCCCGCCCAGCCACTCCAGGTCAGGAAGTGCAAGTTATGCCCAGAGGCCCTTCAAAAGGCGGGGGGCAGCTCAGAGCTGGTCAGACTGCCCAGGGCAGCTGGAGATCGTACAAGGAGGTGGGTGGTGGGCTTTTGATTCTTGAAATGGCTCATTAATGAAAACCCCCAACCCTGGCCACCTGGGGGAAAGGTTCACCGTTCCCATGTACAGCTGATAAGGGCCAGGAGATTCCACAGTTCAGGTAGTTCCCCCGCCTCCCTGGCGTTTTGTGGTCACCATTAATCATTTCCTCTAACTGTGTATATAAGAGCTCTTTTGCCAGTGAGCCCAGTACTCAGAGAGAAAGGCTAAAGTCCTCGGGAGGATGTGGCTGCAGAACCTGCTTCTCCTGGGCACTGTGGTCTGCAGCATGTCCGCACCCACCAGCCTGCCCAGCCCTGTCACCCGGCCCTCGAAGCACGTGGATGCTATTAAGGAGGCCCTGAACTTTCTGAACCGTAGCAATGACTTCGCTGCTGGGATGGTGAGTGAGGGAGAGAGGACAGAGCTGTAGCTGGGACAGACAGCAGGCTGTGGACTGGCCCTGCCCTTCCTGCCAGCATGATAACCACGTTTTTGTTTCCTACAGAACGACACAGTCAAAGTTGTCTCCAGCATGTTCGACCCCCAGGTAAGATGCTTCTCTTCCATGCATCTTTCCAGGGGCTTTTTCCCCGGCGAAGGGGACTCACTTTAGATGGCGCCTCACGTGGCTGTCTCCTGGGATAGACAAGGCTGCCATGGCAGCATCTGGGTGCTCAGGAGCTTCCGCCTTGCCCTGCGTGCTCACGTGGGCTCCTCCGTCAGCTGAGCAGCCATGCGCAGACCTAGCCTTCGAGCCAAAAGCGGGAGTTCACTTCTAGAGGCTGTGGGCTCAGGGTGCTCACTGTGTCCTGAGACTGAGTCCAGGGGAGACAGGGTGCCGGCTGCAAGGGGCACGGAGGGGTTTTGAAAGCTCATCTTGTTCTCACGGGTCTGGGCAATGCCCTATCCTGCCCAGCTCCCCTGTTCTGAGTGGTGGGGTGAGAGAGCTCTCTTTCCC